AAGAGAGTACAAGAGAGGCGAAATTCCATGAGGCTTAGCACAAGACCAAAATCCCATACTGATGAACTTGCTTTCTCCCACACATCCTGGTATTCGTGAAATCAAGTGCTAAATCATAAAATTACTAAGATTCAGGACAAGATAGAAAAGAGGCATACTTCAGAAACCAAGGTGAAACAAGAAAGCGGTCAAGAAAATTTCCAGTGCAGAGCACAACCCTCTGCCTTCCCTCTATCAAAACGTTCAGAATCACTCATATGCCATAAACCTAAGTCCACAGCACTACACAAAAACAAAATTCAATTGTGGGTGATATCCTATGCCAGTAGAATGGCTGGAATATAAAGGAGAGGAAAATGTAGGCAGATACAAGTGCAAAAACGAAGAAAAAATAAATAAAAACTAGAACGACACCTTTGTAACATCCGTTGCGGTGACAGAGGCAATCTCTTTGAGCAGATCCGAAACAGCATCAGTTTTACCGGTGGCAAGAATCTGCGCAGCGCGATCCAAAGCAACATTTTCAGATGACTCGGCACGCGTTAAAACATTCATCGTCGCAAGCCTCCTAAAGTTATACTAAGATATGCCAAAAAAGGCAAACTGAGCGGTAGTAGCACAAACAGACAAAAAGTGACTTGGCTGTCTGAAGCGACAAATCATCGATGCTGAACGATTTGATTGCCTTGATTGTCGCATCAAAAACAGGTCCAATATGATCTGCTTCTGCAACTAGATAAACCCCAACGAGTCCTTCGTCGCCGTACACTTCCGAGATTGCAGAATAGCCAAACGGATAGCCACTTGAAGCTCTCTGTAGAAAACCGCAACAGATTAAAAATGCTTTTTTTCCGCCCTTCCAAAACGTGTAAGTTGCTGGCATGTAGCAAAACAAGATCAAGAAAGCACAGCCAAAAAAGAGAGTAGTTGCGAAAAAGCAATATCAGGCAACTTACGTATGCTGCTTTAGCAACTGAGCCTTGTCCTGCGCCCAAAGGATACTTCACAGCTGCACCCTGGCCAAGCGCAGCACATAAAACTGCTTGAACAGCTAAGCCCTAAAAGGCACCAATTCATTTCCAAGAAAAAGAAATCGAAATAAGGGACTTGCTTCCAAAAAAGAAAAAAACCTTCGTGTTCTTCAGTGATGCTCCTTTGCCAGCGATTGCGACATGCGCTTCCTTTATCGGACTTTTATGGCGCTCCTCGCCCCCACAATACGGCGACGGTTTTGGTGTGCGTTCATCTCCCTCAGGCAGTGTGAACTGGCTGTTTGCATAATCGAGTATCTGATCGTGCGCGATATTCACTCCAACGATCACCGCATTCCCAGTGACCATTTGTGAGGTCTAAATGCAGCGAAGTGTCACTTCTGCAGTGCTTGCACAGAAGGCTGACAGAAACTTACAGCAAACTTCTGCAGCTCGCGATAATCGAACTTTCCAATGCTCTTCTCTGGTGCATACAGACGATTCGCCAGACCACCACTGCGATACGCTGCCTTAATTTACTGTTGTAGCATATCAATTACAATAACCAAATTTCCATTTAAGTCGATGAGGTTGAAAAGAAGTGTCAAGCAACATATTCGATATAATGCCTCATAGCTAATGCAGAGTCAAATTTTTCAAAACTAGATCATATTTTATAATCTACAGATGTATATATGTGTACATATATATATACATATATATATGTATATATATACATATATATAAATAACACTTCCTACTTATACTTCCTGCCGTTGAACATCGCGAA